TGCTCTCTCTCAATCTCAAATAAATAAAATCTTTAAAAAAAAATGAATAATTGTACAAAACAATGTATTTTATGAGGGTATATCTTCAAAGATATCACACACGGCAGAGTCAATGTCTTTGTTGGATAAAGGAATGAGAGTGGGAATGGTAGGGGGTGGTTGAGGGTAGAGCTAATATAAGAGGATCCTTGCACAAAGCAATGATGATAGTGCATCAGGAATTAGAATATAATTTCACTCACCTCCACACCTGAAGCTAAAAGGAAAAACTAAGCTAAGAAGAAACACCTGTATGATTAGAGATTTTTTAAAAGCAGCTAAAGGTGGACAATAATATGAAGTTTGCTCCATAAAACAAATAGAATATTAAGTATAATTACTTAAGTAAGCAGTTACCAAACTCTCAATTACTTAATGACTAATTACAGATCACCTAGTGTCTTTTCTATTGCCTAGAATTTGGTCATTTCACCATATAGAGCACTACCATAAAGGGGCAACAAGTTAGAAGAAGAGTCAAAAAAAAAAACCCCATCCCTCGAACCTTTATTTTTTCTTCTAGAAGATATAAAGTCATTGAGAGGGGCGCCTGGGTGGCTCAGATGGTTAAGCGTCTGCCTTCGGCTCGGGTCATGATCCCAGGGTTCTGAGATCGAGCCCCACATCGGGCTTCTGGCTCAGCGGGAAGCCTGCTTTTCCCTCTCCCTCTGCTTCTCTCCCTGCTTGTGCTCTCTCTCTCTCTCTATCTCTCTGTATCTGTGTCTCAAATGAATAAATAAAATCTTAAAAAAAAAAAAAGTCACTGAGAAAGTAAGCTTAAAATGATAAACACTAAAGTTCTGAATGCTCTATAAAGTTTAGCTCCAAGGATTACTACTACAGATAACTGTGTGTTAAATAAACTGGAAAAGTAGTCTCCTATAGTACCAGTATTTTCTACTCCAATACTGAGAGTGAAGGAGAGAGAGGAAAGGGACAGCTGGAGTGTGCCATGACTATTTCACTCTTGCCCCAGGAGTCATGCCTTCTGGGAGGGCACTCACCTCTTAAGGGAGCTTTTTACAATACTAACCTTGCAGAGCCTCTCAAGTCTTTAAATTCTATATTGAGAAGAGGCAAGAAGTTGCTTTTACAGAATGGACAGGTTGTATTCAAATTTGAATCATCTGCCGTCCATCCAGCCATAATTTCTTCATCATAAACTAAAGCTCCACAAGCTCTGCACTGTGAACAACTTGACATCAAAACCTAAGAGTAGAAAAGTGCAGACACTGAGAACCTCCACAGTGAAAAGTAATCTTAATAGGCCATCCTCGAGACACGTAATTTTATTTTGTTAATCAAATTTAGAATTAACAGTTCAATCACTTTACAGATAAAACTACCAGTTAATTGCCTTACTTACGTAAGACATGAAGCAAATTCAACAAGATGATTTACTAGTCTTTCTACAAGGGTATCACAGAATTCTGTTAAATGCCATGCTGAAATAAACATGTTTACAACCATTTTATCATGTGCTGAATATAGAACTTTTACCTCCATTGCACAATTCTGATAGATGCTAGACATGCTGGTGTTTTGAGAAGAACCATGGTCTGATTTTTCACAGTCCTGCCCTTTTATGCTTCTTGGAAATGGAGGTTCACCTAAAGAGAAGTAAATATAACACATTATATGAGAATGTCCTTATTCTTGGGAAATGCATACTAAAGTATTTAGGGGGAGTATCATGAAGTCTGAAATTTATTTTCAAACAGTTCAGTATAAAAATCCCTGTAGTATATATCTAAAGTTAACAATAGTTAAATCTAAGTGGAGAATATATGATCGTTCATTATATGATTCTTTCAACTATCAGGACATTAGAAATTTTTCATAACAGAATGTTGGAAAAAATAAATAGAATTAAAATTTCTTAAAATAACACAGCACTAAGAAATTTCAGGGACACAGCCCAGGGATTCTCAAACTCTGGTATACATTTGATTTATCCAGAGAGCTGGTTAAAAACATATATTCCCAAGGTCCCAATCCCACAAATTCAGTCTCAAAAGTTTTAGCCTAGAGTCTGGATATTTGCCTATATTTTTAAATAAATTCTCCATGTGATTTGGACACACACTAAAGTCTGAAAACCAATGCAACTAAGGTGACTGTAATACTTAAGAGATCATATAAAGTAAGTGATAGTATGGTGTGGCTCTATTAAAAACCTCCCCGCTCATCTCAACAGATGGGGCTTATTGTGCATGAGGTAGGGGAGGGAAAGGTGTGTGCATACGGATGAGCCCCTCCCATACCTGTTGAGTACTGCAGTTTTCCCACATCCCCGCTGCTGCTGCTACTGCCAAGGCTTGTGCTGCTCTGGGTGAGTTCACTGGGAACCAACCCTGAAATATTCATGTTAGGTGACACATTCTCCCCCAAAATATGGTCTTCGAGGCCAGCTGGGAAGCTGTAATCTCTGTTAGTTTCCTCCTTTAATTGAAAAGAATAAAACCCCACATACATAAATAATATCTTCTCCAATGAGAATATAGTCACGCTGCTCTTTTCAGAATTAAACTTCTCTAGAATCCTGAAATTAATTATCATCCCCATAGTTTTCAAAACCGTTCTTGAACTGTTCTCCATATTATTTGGAATTTCGTTTCCATACTCTTAAGATATTCAAGCAATGACCTACAATACTTTAAGATTTTGTTTCACCCCTGGTGAATGTTGGGGTGTCTCCCAGTAATCAGTATCATAAAATGAAGGAACTCTAGGAAGCTCAGTGTCTCCCACGCAATCAGGCGCCCCAGCACGAGGACAGCAGGGGCTATAAAGTCACACAGGCAGACTGTGGTCTTGGCTCTCCATCACGCAGTAGGTATGTGACCTTGCGGAAATTACTTAACTACTCTTTTAATTATATCATCTGAAAAATATGGATAAGAGGAGGCCTTTAAAACAAAGCTGCTGTGAGAATTTCAGCTGGCAATATGATTTTCAGAACCACCACCATCAATATTAGAGACATAAAATAAGAATAAAGTTCCAAACACTATAGTTCTGAACTCAGTGACTGCTGATGCTTTAGTTTAGATAGAAAACATTTCAATAAGCGGTTTCCTTTTTGATTTCTACTTTAAAGAAGACTCATGTTGGGGCGCCTGGGTGGCTCAGTCGGTTAAGCATCTGCCTTCAGCTCAGGTCATGATCCCAGGGTCCTGGGATCGAGCCCTGCAT